GCTCACTTTGTAGCCCAGGCTGGCCTCAAACTTGCAACAATCCTCCTGCCTCAGCCTCCCAAGTGCTGGGATTACAGGTGTGCGCCACCATGCCCGACCTTGCCAAGTTCACTTTAAATGGTAGCCAAGGGGAGAAGGGAGGGACCAGAAATCGGCAAAGCCTTGCCCATGGCCACACAGACAGGGGACTGCTACTGGAGCAGGACTGGGGTGCAGGTGGGGTGCAAGAACACCTTTCCCACCAGAGTGGAACTTGAGGCTGGCTGCGGGTTGGGGAAACTTTGCCCACAGTCCAGGTCTCTCTCCAGCTCAGGTTCACCTCAGAAAGGGGTGGAAGGAAGGAGGTGGGTCTTGTCCAGGCCAGGCTGTGGTTCTGGGTGGTGGAGCACTTTTGTGTGCCCTGGTTTGTGTGCTCTTCTGGCAGTGCTTAAAGGGGTGGCCAGACTTGAGCTCCTGCGTGTGCAGCTGGGGCACAGGTGTGAGGAGCTTAGTGTACAGGTGTGTTAGGGCAGGTGTGTGTGCCTGCTTGTGTCTAGTGTTCCTGCTACTCTCTCCTGTGTGCTTGGCCCATTCCAGTGAAGGAAGTTCCATCTCCCCATTGTCCCATGCAACACCCTCAGGTTGACAGGGAGCGGGGCCTGTGGCAGGCAGGGTCTCCAAAAGCACCAAGGAAGGTGTGGAAGCATCACTGATGCCAGGTGTGTGCTGGAGTGGTTATGTGCCATGTGTTGCTGTGTGTGTGTGTGCATGTGTGTGTACATGTGCACACTCTCTCTAGAAGGGCCTGGAGTTCCCAGCCCTCAGGCCCCTCCAGTTCTGCCCAGCATGTTCCTGAAGGGCAGGGACTGCTGGGCGCTTTCCCTGTCCGGGGGCGGGAGGTGGTCTGAAGTTGGTGCCTGAGGAAAAGGCCATGTGAGCTAGAGCGGAAGCCGGAGCTTATCCAGGAGCTGGCTGTGTTGCCCACCTGAGAGAGGCCACACAGGGCTGGACACAGTGCCATCTCGTGGGCCACGGGGAGGATCTGTGTCTCTCTCAGGAGAAAGAGAAAGGCTAGTCCTGTCATCCATGTGCCACCACCTCTCCAGTCCTCTGCTTTCTCTACCACCCATGCCGCACCGGCCGCTCTCCCAGGCTTCGCTGCCTCCAGCTGCTACCTTGACCATGACCAGACCTTGGGTTCTGGTCCCGCTCTGGGAGTGAGTGTTGGCTTGGTCTTTGTTCTAGGTTCTAGGTCCTGAGAATCCTTGCTATGTCAGCCCAGGGACACGGTGTCCTACTTACCACACTGCACAAACTTGATGCTTCTGGCCATGTCCCTTAAGCTCTTTACTAGCGAACCTTCCTGCCTGGCCCCTTGGAGCTCCCCCTTGCCCTCAGGGTGAAGTCAGAATGCCTGCACTCTCTCAAGCCTGTGTAACTAGCCCCATGCTCTTGGAGTGACACCTCCAACCACTGTTCCCGCTGACCCCCAGTGCTGCTGGTTTCCTGTGTTCTGTGAGAATGATGGCGTAGTGTGGATGGTATGAGTGGAACTATTTGTGTGTGTGTGGTTGTGGCGGTGTGTGTGGTTGTAGTAGAGTATGTGATGGTTGTGATATGTGTGTGATGGTTATGATGATTGTGGTGGTGTGTGGTTATGGCATGTATGTGTGGTTGTGATGATGTGTGTGGTTGTGGTAGGTGTGGTTGTGGTGGTGTGTGGTTGGGATGGTGTATGTAATGGTTATTTTGATTGTGGTGGTTGCGGTGGTATGTGCAGTTATGATGGTGTGTCATTGTGATGGTCTGTGGGATTGTGGTGAAGTGTTTGAGTGTAATGGTGTGCGATATGTGTACTGGCTATAACGATGTGTATGTGATATTTATGATGATGTGTGTGTTGTGGTAATGTGTGTGTAATAATTATGATGATGTGGCTGTGGTGTTGTGTGTGGTTGTCATGGTGTGTGATGTTATAATGATGTGTATGTGATGGTTATGAGGCTGTGTGTGTGTGGTTGTGGTGAGGTATGAATAATGGTTATGATATGTATGTGATAGTTATGATGATGTGTGTGTGGTTGTGATGGTTACAATGATATGTATGTAACGGTTGTGATGATGTGTGTGCGCTATGATGATGTGTGTGTGACGATTGTGGTTGTGGTGTGTGTGTACATGAGCGTGTTAACAGGCACCAAGACGACTGTCAGGCGCCCCACCTGTGTGTCAGCCAGAGCAGCTCCCTAGCCTCAGCTTGACAGCCAGGCCCCAAATCGGATCATTGCTTTCAGGCTTCTGAGGCTGAGAAGACCTCTGAGGCTCTGCTCTGAGTAGACTCCGGGTTGACGGCCCCTCCTCCAAGCGAGGTGGGCTCAGCGCTCGCTCCTACAAGGCCCTCTCTCTCTGCCGGGGGCCTCGGTGGCCTCTAGATGCCCCACTTCCAGGAAGCCTCTGGGCTCCTTTACAGGACAGGGCTGTTCCCTGCTCTGAGCACCGCTCCCCGTCCCGCCCTCCTTTATGTTCTGCTGACCCCACCGAGGCTGAGGCTCCCAGCCCGTCCCCTCCACACTGATGTCCTTCCTTTCTGCACTGCTGACTCATGCACAGACATGAACAATACCCATCGGGCTCACAGTTCCTGTGGGAGAAACACGAAACAAGATATGACACTGGGGGACATCAACACTGTGACGGGAGAGGGGCCTAGTGGCTCCTGACCCAGGATGGGACAAGCAACCAAGGCTTCCCTGGGAAAGTAATCCCCAAGCACAGTTTTACATGGGAAAATGTCCTAGGCAGAGGGAGCTGCATGTGCAAAGGCCAGGAGCACTGGGGAGAGTGTTTGAGTGACCAGAGGCAGTCAAGATGGTGTGGAAGAAAGACTAGGAGTGGAGTGGCAGGAGATGAGAGGTAGGTGGGGAGCTGGGGCACACAGAGTCTGGGGTGCAAACCATGCAGCTGGAACCTCATCCCCCAATATAATGGGGCCACAATAGGGAACTGAAAAGGAAGTGACAAGGTCAGGTTTACTTTAAAAGGTTATTACTTGCAGCTTGCATAACATAAAATTAAGCATTTTAGAGTGAACAACGCACATATAGCGCATTCGCAATATTGTGCAAGCAATGTCGCTCTCTGGTTTTCATCCTGCCAAAGTAAAAGGCTTCGCCCTTTAAGCAGTTTCTCCCATTCTCCCTCCCCCAGCTCCTGGCGACCTCCAGTCTACATACTGTCTATATGGATTCATCGGCTCTGGACATCTCATATGACAAAACCATAACATGCTGTGATCTTTGTGTGTGGCTTAGTTCACTTAGCTTAATGTCTCAAGGTTTATCAGGACTATGGCTTATATCTACTTCATTCCTGGGCTGGGGGTGTGACTCAGTGGTAGAGTGCTTGCCTCCTTGCATGCATGAGGCCCTGGGTTTCATCCTGAGCACACAAACAAAGCAAAACAAAAAGCTTTGTTCTTTTTCATGGATGAATGATACAGGCGCTCCTCAACTTACGATGGGTTCATCCTGACAAACCTATGGTAAGCTGAAAATATTGTCAGCTGAAATAGATTTAGTGCACATAACCTACCAAACATGACAGCTCAGTGAAACATCAGAGCTTACCCAGAGACAGAGCGATCGTGTGGCTGACGGGGAGCTGCAGGTCACTGCCACCACTCAGTGCTAGGAGAGTACAGTACCACGTATTGCCAGCCTGGGGCAAGATCAATATTCCAAAGCCAAGCGCAGTTCCTATGGGTGCATGTCACTTTTGTACCACTGTAAAGCCATGCCACCGTAAATTGGGACCAACTGTAATCCAGTCTGTGGACAGATGGCTAATCGTTCATCCATCACCACTGGAGGACATCTGGGCTGTTCGGGCTCACTGTTGATCCCTCCAGCTGTGTCCCTGCTTGGTTTGGAGGGGACAGGATTTCATGAGGAAGACAGTCTAGGGGCTATGTCAGTGACAGGGGCCCAGGGTCCTGGCCACCAGAAAGACAATGCCAGTTTATAAGGAGCTGGAACGTGGGGTTGGAGGGAGGAGAAAAATGGAAGTGGAAGACGGGAACTCCTAAGGACCCCATTGTTCTGGAAGGCAGATCTGGACCATCTTTCTGAACATTGAGTCAGCAAACCCACACACAGTGACTAGTACATAAAAGGAGCCGCTAAGTTGATCATGACTGTACACACCTACAATCCCGTCCCTCTGAAAGGCTGAGGCAGGAGGATTGCAAGCTCAAGCCCAACCTAAGCAATTTAGCAGGGTTGTAAGCATAAAGCCACTTACATACAAATTCAGTGTGGAAGCATACAGAGAAAACCGCAAAGGCCCCAGTCCTGGGAGTGTGTGAGGTTGGAAAAGACAACAGGAGCAGGTTCCAAGGATGAAGTGCTGCGGTGTTGCCATGCTGTAGCTATCAGCAGACAGCCCAGTGATGTCCCTCGTTGGGGATGAGGACAGTGCCAGTGACCCCAGGCAAGTGAAGCCAGGGCCACAGAGCTAACAGAGGTGAAGAGCTACAGCCCCTGGATGAGCCTGGCTGAGGGGCTCAGGAGAGAGGCCAGGCAGGTGGAGAGACAGGGCGGTGGTGGTGCGGCTTTGTAGGCAGTGGTCAAAGTTCAGTCTGCTGCTTGACCTGATGTAGGTGGGTGGGCTTTGGGTGTGTATAGTATAGTGGGGAAAACTAAGGAAGGGAGTGCTGCCGAAGCAGGAGGGGCTGGAGCATGGGGCAGGGACCAGGGCCCCAGGAAGCGGGGTGTGTCGCCCCCCAGAAGGGGGCGGGAGCTCTCTCCTGTGATGCTTTTATATTTTTGTGGCACGGGCGCTGAGAACATTGTTAGGAGGTCGGCAGGCGATGGTGGGGTGGGGCCAGAGGGGAGGGAGAAGCCTCTAACCAAGCTGAGAAGCCTGGGACTGAGTGAGCTCCTGCAAGGGGCGAGGGACCCATGGGAAGCCAGGAGTGGGAGGGGCTTGGAGCCCAGACTGGCCGGAAGGAGCTGGGCCCTGGTCAGGAGGCTGGGCCTGCCTGAGCGGCCTTGCCTAGGTCTCTGCCCCCTCAGGCATCTGAACAGGCACTCTGGAGGACCCGTAGCCAGCACTGTACCCTGCCCAGCCCTTACCTGGCTGTGACGGCCTTTGGCCGTGTGGAGGGAAAGGCTCCCACCCCAGGAAGCACTGATGGAGGCCTCTGTTTTTAAGTGGTTCTGGGAAGCAGGTAGGTGGGGCTTCCAGCTGCCTGCCAGAATTTCCAGGATGCCAAAATAGTTTTCTTTCCCTTCCCCCTCATGCTGAGATCTTTCCTGAGCCCAGGGCATATGCAGGGGGGGGAGGTATCCGGAGAAGCTGAGAGACACCAGCAGCATGAAAACCAGGGTTGAGCCTGTGTGCAGACAGCTCCTGAGGACAGCCTGGGAGACAGGAGACTGCGTCTAGTGCCAGTTTGGCCAGACTGTCTGACCTTGGTCTTGACTGCTCCACATTCTGCCCTTGGCCTCAAATCTAAGCACCCCCAGAGCCAGACCCCCTCTAGGGCTTGCTGAGCACAGACTTCTGGGTCCCAGCTCTAGAGTTTCCAGTTTAGTGGGCCTAGAGCAGGGCTCAAGCACTTACATGCCTAACAAGTGCCTGAGTGAGAACCACCGGCCTAGGGCCCTCCCTTCTGCGTCCCAGTGTCCCCAGTTCTGTCCAGAAGCACACAGGGGGGCTGGGGATTCAGCTCAGCGGCAAAAGCGCCTGCCTGGCAAGCACAAGGTCGTGAGTTCAGTTCCCGGTACCAGAGAAAAACCAGAAGCACACAGGCTCTGCCTACCTCCTCCCATGGGCACTGGGAGGCTCCAGCAAAGCCACCAGGTGACTAAGGCATTCAGAGAGCTGGCTGAACACCCTGGTTGCATGTCACAAGGTCAGCGTGAAGTGACGGCTGGAAGTAGGTCCCAAGTAGCTGCGGCTTCCTCTGCACCCCCCATCCTGAAGAGGTGCTTCAGGGACACTGCAGGACAGAGGTGGCTGAGGCTGGGGTTTCTGCGTCCCTCAAGGTGCAGCATTTCTGTGCATACCAACCTGACGGCTTCCAAGCACCAGGCTCTGCGACTCTGCCTGAGGACTTCCTCTGGCCACGGAACGCCAGGCCTCATGTGACACAAGAAGTCCACCAGGGAGCTAATGTCCATTCCCCAAGGCATATCCCAGCCAGTGAATGGGGATACAAACCCCAGCTCCTTCACCTCTTAGTGGAACAACTCTTTGGCATGTTCTATAGGGTCACCCAGAATTCATCAGTGGAACTGAGCCTGGCTAGGCACGCCGGAAACCTGCTCCATGACACACCTCCTGTTGGCTTCTTCCTTCCCTGCATCAGCTCCATGAAGAATCCTCTGATCTCTTTTCAAATAAACCACTTGTCTCAAAGCTTTGTTTTTGTTCCTGGGGGAACCCAACCCCAGAAAGAATAATAATAATGATAATGATAATAATAATAATAATAACACTGCTGTTCATTGAGCAGCTACTATGTTCCAGATATTGCATGCATATGACCTTGTTTGATCACCCTGCCAAGAGGGCATTATCACTTCTCTGCCACCACCGAGGTTGGTCAGGTCCAGAGAGGGCAGAATCTCAACCAACGAGCTTTCAGTCCACAAGGGAGGCTGTTTAGGTAGGTCAGACTCTCCTCTACACTTCAAGGACAGCAGGTCAAGGGACCAGGAAGTGAGGACACAAGAAATGGCTCCTTTGGCCCTGACTCTGTCCCCAGGGCAGGCACAGTGGCAGCAGCAGGACCTCTGAGGACCTCTCTGATTGAGGTACCGGGAAGAAAAAGGCTGAGCAAATGAGAGTGAGTGAGAAGCCATCCTCGCCTGACTGCAGGTATGACTGCTCTTTGGAAGTAGCAGGGGGCCTTTTGGGAGAAATAAGTTCTTATTTATGAAGAAAGGGGTTCAGGGCCACAGACTGTATCATTCACAGCTCCCTTTGTGCTTGCAGGCCAGCACAAACCTGTTCCTGCAGCCCTCGTGGGCGTGGAGTGTGCCCTTTGTCCATGAAAGTCCAGTCAGTTTTGCTTTGGGTCTCAATTTCAAAGTATGTTCTGTAGTAAACATTTTCATTGTCTCAAAAGGAAGCTATTTGGGTTCTAATGAAGTCACACGCTTGTGGATAGTAAAATGAGCTCCCCGCTAGCACGAGGGCCCACATCAGACCTCACGCTGGGCCCATTTCCCTGGTAGGAGCTTTGAATACATCCTCCTGTGTCTGCCCTCAGTTTCCTCATCTGTGACAAGCGAGGCAGCTACATGGGCCCGCACTGGAGGTTCCAGGTTTGACAGGACCCATGGCTCCCTCTCGGGGCCACTTGGCAAATCTAGCGGGTTCCTGGTTCCGTCTGTGTGGAAGCAGGACTGTAATTGAGCCTGCAGGGTCACGGAGACAAGCCCAGCCCATCCATCTCCTCTGGGAGCAGCCCGGGGAGATAAATCCTACCGCAGCTGCCACTCACGTCACCTCGGGGACAGCCTGTCTGGGGTTCACACTGAGAGAAGGAGGAGCTGGCGAAGCCAGGCCTCACAACTGAGACGCTCACCAAGTGGGGTGGGACCACAGGCCGAGGGTTCCCTGCAGGGGAAGCAGTGGCTCCCTGGAGCCCACCCGCTACAGCCATGGTTCGAGGGATTCACCACACACTCCCCTTCCCTGGACTCAGGATCGGGGGAGGGCAGGCACCACGAGTACCAGTAAAAGCATCCTTGTCTCATTAAGTGCTGATGCTCCGCCATGCCCTGTGCTTATCATTCTACTTATGCCATTTATTCCTCATGCCAATCCCAGGGAGGACCCTTGGACTATAGCTGGGAAAATGTCTCTACCGAGAGGTTGAGAACAGAGATGCCAAGAAACTTGTCTAGGATCACTCAGCTTGCAGTAGCCAAACCAGGCTTTCAATCCAAGCAGTTTAGCTCCACAGCCTGAGCTCTGAACCACTCTACAAAATAATCCAGATAGTAGTGATGACAACACTATGACAGTGGACTGTGTCAGGCAGCGATCAGAGGGACCATACAGAGAGTAAGAGAAGATGGGCCGGGGTCTTCGAGGTAGCCTGACAGAGGGAATATCAGGCGCAAAGGTGAGGGGTTGAGAAAGGCCACTGAGCCGGAGGAGTGGTGACACATTTGGAAAGACAGACACATACAGGGAGGTGAGTTTGGTGAGGGAGAAGGCAGCCAGAGTGCAGCAAACCCCGAGCCGAGGAGGCACTTGGGTCGTAGCTGGTGGGCGACAGCCACCCCTGGAGCTCTTCAGAGGCTGTGACACGGCTGTGTGCAAAGTCCACACTGCCTCTCACTAGCTCAGTGGTCTTGGGTCAGTCATTTCCTTCCTGGAATTTTCCTGGAATAGTCAGTTAACTCAGAGGGGTCATTTCTTCTTTGCAGACTTTGAGCAGGAACTTGCAAGACAATGGATGGAAGGGATTTGTAAACTGCAAGAGATTTTATAAACTCAGGCCGGCAGGTGGAATGGAGAGAAGAGATAGCAGGTGGAATTGAGCCAGCTATTTTGCCAAGGGGCTATTGGCTTCAGTCCAACCTTCTTTCATTGTTAAAAAGTCGTGCCAGCAGGGCATGGTGGCTCACACCTGTAATCCCAGCTCTCAGGAGGCTGAGGCAAGAGGATCATTGCGAGCTCGAGACCAGCTTGGGCTACAAAGTGAGCTCAAGGCCAGCCTGAACTGCATAGCAAGACTCTATCTCAAAAAAAAAAAAAAAAAAAAAAGTCATGGCATCTGCACAGAGTTTGCTACTGAACAACTGGCCTTCATGACCTCGCTTGGTGATGCCCAAGCCTTTGGAGTTAGGTAGAATCATTCCCATTTCACAAGTGTAGGCCCAGAGAGGCCGACTGAGGTGCGAGCAGTGCAGTGTCACAGCGGCAGAGCTGTGCTCCTCCAGCTGGCCACATGGACATGGCTGCCTACGGCAAGCCAAGGTCACAGAGGTGCACACAGGCAAACAGCAGGAGCCGAGGGCGAGCAGTAGTCAGGGTCATGAAGTCTCAAAGGTCGTCTGTCACGCTCCTGAGGCCCAAGTTTGAATTCTTTCCTTCCAGACCGGTGTGGAAGTCTGTCTGTGACCAAGTCCAGCCTATTGCACCAAGCCTGCTCCTCACCTGGTTCTCTTTGTGGGAGGGAGCAGGCCCTCAACACCTGGGCTTTGTTTTGTTTTGTTTTTTGAGACAGGGTCTTTCTTTTTTTTTTTTTGGTTTTTCTCCGGTACCAGGAACCGAACTCACGACCTTGCGCTTGCCAGGCAGGCGCTTTGCCGCTGAGCTAAATCCGCAGCCCCGGGTCTTTCTATATAGCTCAGGCTGGCCTTGAACTCACTATGTTGTCCAGGCTGGCCTTGAACTCGTGATGAGCCCCCTGTCTCAGCTTCTTGAGTGCTGGGATTACAAGTGTGCACCACCACACCCGGCAACACCTGGGCTTTAGAGCTGGGCCCAACTCAGGCTAAATCCCAGCCCTGCAGCCATCCTTGTGTCACCTTGACCTGTCTCTGAGCCTCAGTTTCCTGACGCAACTCAAGGATAATGATACCTCAAAGGAAGGCCAGGCGTGGTGGTAACGGTGGCACACGCCTGTAACCTCAGGACTAGTGAGGCCAAGGCAGGAGGATCACTGTGAGTTCGAGACCAACCTGGGTTACATAATAAATTCAAGGCCAGCTATACTACATAGCGGGACCCTGTCTCAAAAAACCAAAAAACCTTCAAAGGGCAATCTCAAGGATCGAATGCGATAGTGATTGTAGGAACTCACAGACTCTCCTTGCGGGATGTGCAAGGAACTGTTCACTGGTATCTAGAGAGAGCAAGAGGCACACAGGAGCAGAGAGGAGGCCAGGAGACCACACACTTTTTTGTAATCTCTTCCTCCGTCTTAGCAGGGATGTCCTCATTCAGATAAATTAATGCTGTTTCAAAAGCGAGCCAATGAAAGGCAGGCACTCGGCAGTCTCGGCACTTCTTAGCTGCTCCATAAAGGTTAGCTTTCCCCACTCTCACATATATTGCTGCAAAGGATTTTTCAGAACTCTGTTCCTTGGATTCCTCCCCAAAGCTCCTCGGCATAACAGGAAAGACAGAGGTCAAGACAAGTGGTACCTCTGAGCTGGGACAGAGGGCTTCACAGGGCAAAAACCTACTCTGATCTGGCTCCTTGTTGCCAGGTACAGAGCACCAGCTTTGCCAAGAGAGCCAGGGGGCCCAACTATGAGCCCCACAAGCTGAGCTGGAGCTTGCTTTGCAGCCCGTTGGCTGGGTAACCCTGGGCAAGTCACTCAACCTCGCTGGGCTGTGGGTCTCTGGTGTCAGTTGTGTGCTCCTCCTGTGCTCTGAGAGGGCGTCCTGGGACCGCTGTCCACCATCATCGCTTCTCCCTTCGCAGTACCATGAAGTGCTTGACTTCAAGCCAGGGCAGCAAGGCCAGGGAAGGCTTTTGCCCATGGGGTAAGGCTGGGTGCAGGGTTCAGAAGGCCCTGGAGGTCAAGGTAGAGAGGAGCTGACAAGAGTTCTTTCTGTGCTGCTCTCCCCAACCTGCCCATGGGCCATTTCGGCCAGCACTGGGCCACGAGCTGAGCTCACTAACCCAGCAGCGAGGGCTCTGGATTGTGCCAAAGAAGCAAAATCCAAAAGTAACAGAGCTTTACCTTATCCACTTGCCAGGCGGGTGCTGATGCTAATCCTATTCCCAGCCAAAGCAACTCAGACGAACAAAACCTGCGCCCACCCCAGCTCCACACCATCTGGCGTCTGGTGGGCGTGGACTCGGGGCACCTGGCTATGTGTGGGCCACCGGGTCATTACTGTGCACACCTTGTACAGCACAGGTGCGCTTGGCCTTGGCCTGCACTGCCTCTAAGGCTCACGGGAAGATGCGTGCTGGTGCAGGAGGCAAAAAGAAAAAGTGGAATAAGTAAGGGTATATGCTAAGAAAAAGCCACCGTGTGTATCAGAGAGGAACTTGGAAGAGGGTGGCCAGGAAGACTTCCGGGAGGAGGTCCCCCAGGACCAGGTATCACACAGCAGGGTCAGATGGGAGAGCAGCTGCCGATGCCCCGGAGAAGAGGCACAGGGTGAGTCTGAGGGACAGAGCAAGGCCCGCTTGGCTGGAGCCCAGGGTAGGGACAGGATGGAGACGGGTCTAAGGCCAGGACACGCAGAGTCCCATAGGCTGCTCAGAGGACTTGGGTTTACTCTTAGTGCGACAGAAGCCGGGGAAGGGTTTTGAGCAGGGCAGCGCCACGATCTGCAGTGTGTTCCAGATGCTTGCTCTGCTGCTGGGTGGAGAAAGGATTGTGGGGGACAAGCAGGCCCCAAGTAGACCAAATAGGAGAATCTGGCATCAGCAAGGA